AGATTATTAATTGGGTCCACTTAAATGGAGTGGTGGGTTAAGAACTGCTAGTCCATCTAGGAGTTAAGGGCAAGCAAAGCCAACAGTTCCATGAGGGTCGAGTTCTATTGTTTGAGGGGTTTGTGGGCCTTTTGGAGAAGGTGGTAAGGTAGGAGGGACTGAGACCAGGAGTAGCAGGGTAACAAAACTCGTAATGGGGGGCTGGAGAGATGGCTCACCGGTTAAGAACACTGGTTGTTCTTGCAGAAGATCCAGGTTCAAATCTCAGCACCCACATGGCAGCTAACAACTGTCTGTAACTCCAGTCTCAGGGCATCTAACAGCCTCTTCTGTCCTCCTCGGGCATTGCATGACACAGGTGCACTTACCTACATGCAGGCAATACACATAAAATACATAAAGTACACATAAAATAAAAATTAAAAAAACCCAAAACTCGTAATGGTTAAAAATGACACCATTGGATGATTTCAGGAAGATAAGACAGTGGTCATTTTGAAGACGGGAAGAAACCCTGGTCTAGTTTAGGAGCCCAGGGATGTTGGGTTAGGGAGTAAAGATGGTAAGTGTCTTCAGTTCAGTAATAGATTAAGGAGTCTCACTGGGGCCAATAAGATGTCTTAGCAGGTAAAAGTCTGCTGCAAAAGGCTGATGACCTGAGACCCCATAGAAAATCCTTGAAATCTGGGGAAAGACTGAGCCCTCGATGAGAAGCTTAATTAATTAGCTTTGACTAATGTGTGGCTTGATGAAAACTGATAAGCATCTTCTATTGGGAGGGTCCAGGGAACAGCTTGTTGTCTGGGCTTTGTAGCCTTCCTCTGAGATGACTGTGAAGTCCTGACTTAAAGCCTTTTCAGCTTCCTGAGGTGTATATTGAGTATGTGGGTGAGTGGGATGGGGAACTGAGAGTGGAAGCTAAACTGCCACTTTAGCCTGTTGATCAGCATAGTTGTTACCCCAAGAACTTGTTGGAGTGGGCCTTGCAGTGAATAATGACTGCCTTGGCTGGAAGCTAGATGGCATCCAGTAGGGCTAACATCTCAGGGATGTGTTTAATCCCGGTATTATGGACAGTAAGAAGACCTCTTTCTCTCTAGATAACTGCACAGACATGGGTTACATGGAAAACATAGTCTGAATCCATGTAAATATCCTGCCCTTGGTGAAGCCCTAGTGAAGAAAATTCTTTTCTTCTTTTTTTTTGGTCTTTTTGAGACAGAGTCTCCCTGTAGTGCCAGCTGTTCTGGAACTCACTATGTAGACCAGGCTGGCCTTGAACTCACAGAGATCCACCTGCTGAGTGCTGGGATTAAAGGCGTGTGCATTCTTTTCTTTTTAAAAGAGAAAAAAAATTATTTTATGTGTATGAGTATATTTCCTCTATGTATGTAAGTGCACCCATGTCATGTAATGCCCGTGTAGGTCTGAAAACAGTGTTGGATTCCCTGGAACTGCAGTTATGGACAGTTGTTAGCCACCATGTGGGTGCTGGGAATGGAATCCAGTCCTTTTCAAGAGTAGCCAGTGCTCTTAACCACTGAGCCATCTCTCCAGCCTCCTTTTTTTTTCTTTTGGAGATAGGGTCTCCCTGTACCCCAGCTGGCCTGGAACCGGCTTGCGCCAAACTCAGATCTACCTGTCTCTCCCTCCTGAGTGCTCGGATTAAAAGCATGCATCAGTATGCCCAGCTAGTTCTGCTTTTTTTTTTTTTTTTGGTCTTGAGACAGGGTCTCCTTGTAGCCCCAGCTGTCCTGGAACTCACTATGTAGACCACACTGGCCTTGAACTCACAGAGATCCGCCTGCCTCTGCCTCCGGAGTGCTGGTATTAAAGGCCTGCGCCACCACAACTGGCCAGCTCTGCTTTTTGAGCTCACAAAAAATTACCCAGAAAAGGCCCAGGTTCTATGATCTCTGTGAAGCTATGTTCTGCCACCCTAAAACTGTCAACATCTGTGAGCGGGTAGCTTGAGATGGGAGGTGGGAAAGTGGAGAATCTTGCACAGCCCTTCTAGTGCTTCAGGTAAGTGTAATTATCTGGGGATGTGGTGGAAAGATGTTGTAAAGGGGCTTCAAGGTGAGGACCTGGCAGTAAGATGGTAGGATTTAGAGTTTGACAATGTTTTCTAGTAAGTTTTGGGTTTGTAGATGAGTTGATACTTGTACACTCTGCTGAGATCTGCTTTTGAGATGGCTCAGTGGTTAAAAGCCACTGAGAGATGGCTTAGTGGTTAAAAGCACTGACTACTTTTATGGTGACCTGGGTTCAGTTCCTGCCACCCATTTAGGGACTAACAACTGTCCATAACTCTAGTTTCAGGGGATCTGATGCCCTCTTCTGTCCTTCAAGGGCATTACATGCATGGGTGCCCTATACACATAAAATAAAAATTAATTAAAAAAAAAAAGTTGTACTCTGTTCTAGGGTTAATTTGGAGACTTTTCCAACCAGGAGGCTATATTTGTGTTTCATAAGATACAAAGCCCTGACCTGAAAGAGACGAACAGTAGGAAGTGAGATACGGATAAAAATTGGGTTAGTTTAAGGGAGGGGGGAGGGAAGGGTATACAAGGAACCTAGGGGATAAAGGGAAAGAAGGAGCTCAAGAGAGGTAGGGCCATAGGAGAAGGGTATTATTAAGGGAGAAAGGGGGGAAATGGGGCACCTTAA